GTGTCTGGAAATAAGTTAAGGTTTTGGGAAAGGAAGAGGTAGGGAAGATTCGCTAAACGAGCGAATAGAAATTTGGAGTGTTACGTTTTAGGAAGTATGCACCATGTTTGCCATCAAAGACTCAAAGGTCTAAGTCACGGATTTGCAATAAGAAAATGGTGGAAATCCAAGACAAGCAAACCTACCTCCATTAACCAGACGTTCATATTTTCATCCAGAATAAAATCAAAACGAACCAATTCAAAGAAGTTCCTAGTGTAAAGAAAGGCTTGAATGAAGAAAATTACCATTACATTTGTTCCAGAATGCTGTAGACAAGGGTCCCAAGGTGCATGTAAGCCATCTTATAATTGGCAGTTTATTTGTATTTGTGTTAGGGAAGGAGAGAGAGACTTAGCTATGACCCCCCTCCCCTCGTTGTGGAATCCTGGCTACGCCCTTATTTCGTCTGATGCATACCTTGAACTACCATAAGTTGAAGAGGAGGAGATCAGATCAACTTCTTTCTTGACGTAAACCTAAAAAAATGAGGTAAACATTAAAAAATATAAATAAACAGACCTCTTTACCTCGGGCATGTTTTTTCCATTTCTGACCACGTGTTATTCCCTAGAGTATCATTTCTTTGTTTAACGGTTGCACATGAGAAAACACATGAATATAGATACGAGTCAAACACAGAATCTTTTTCTCAAGGGAATGACACGTAGTCTGAAATGGGAAAACATTACGCCCAAGCTAGAGGTATACTAGTGCTAGGAAAACGCCCCATTCCAAGATTTATAACCAACACCCGGTTGGCTCAGTTGGTTGAGCGTCGGGCTGTTATGCGGGAGGTCGTAGCTTCAAGCCTTGGCGGCCGGGTCAACACTCAGGGTCTTAAAATAACTGAGGAGAAGGTGCTGCCTTTGTAATTACATCTGCAAGTGGTTAGATCTTCACGTGGCTCGGATGACCACGTTAATGGCGTTCCCGTCTCTCATGACACTCCATCATTACTAACCAACATAGGAGGGACGTAAAAGAACCACTGAGGACGTAAAGAAACCCTGGCGGTGACCACCCTCAGTGCCTACACCTCGTACCAACCACCTCAAATTCGTTAAGTCATTGTAAAGCGCCTTTGGTCATACCCATGTGAAAAAGAGCGCTAAATAAAATTATTAATCATAAAATCCAATCAATAATCCAGTTGCTGAACCTCTACTATGATGCATCAAGATGTTAGCATTAATGATTAAATCAAACGCGTTTCGCACTGCATTTTACCTCTTTGATAGCATCATGCATATCCCGCCAAACTTTATCAGCATCTTTACCTGTAACGATTTCAAAGACACGATCAATGAATAAGAAATAGTGATGAAAACAGAAGGGAACAACGAATACATACCTTCTTTCTTCAAGTGAGTTAGTATCGTATGCTTACGAGAAAACTTGCCATGTTTCCAGAGGGCTGCGAGGGACGGCAACTGGAAACAAGTAAGAATTAAAACTTCATTACCTTCTTACCAATTGGTTATTGATGCGATGAGTTATTCTTTAAATAAGGATAGCGATGAATATTTTTTGAACAACTGGTAGTGCATCATTGCTGCCCAAAATCTGTGTATTCTGAGCCCAAAATTTGATATGTAGAGAAAACTKGTTATTGCTATTCACCACCGCAGAAGTGGCTAGCTTAACGTGGTCGAACTGAAAGTAATGTGAAGGCACGTCAATACAGTCCTCTTTTCTCGTCATAAACCCCTTCAAATCTTAAAAAATGACGAAATAATTTGAGGAGCATAAGCCAAAATGACTAAAGTCACTAAATGGAATTGGAGATTTCTCTGAATCGATCATTCACGTTCTTCTTGATGCGTCTAATGCGTTTACCACTCCTGGGTGGACGGCTTAATGTCTAACAGGTTTTGCAACCCAATTGATAAGGCAGCCGGCAGATCGAATTAGAATTTAGAAGTTGATTTTTGTGGAGGGAGGAAAAGCCGAAGAACCCGGAGGAAAAACCCTCGAAGCACAGGAGAGAACCAACAAACAACTCTACTCACATACGAACCGGGGCTCGAACTCGGGTCGCATTGGTGAGAGGCGGCGCATTAGCAGCGCACGCCACCCGTGCTTCCCCGTGCTTCTCAAGTAGGGACTTTAAGATTTTGAAAAATCTACGACGGCGACGTCAACGGGAAGTGTAAATAACTTCCATTTACGGTCCAGGCGTCCTCAAAGTCTGTCTTTCCTGTGGATGAGTTGGCTTTACTGACAATGTTTTGAATAAAATCTTCAATGAACAGAACCCCAAAGAGAAGTTATTCACGCTTCCCGTGGACGTCGCTGTCGTAGATTTTGCAAATCTTAAAGTCCCTCTTATCGTTTTGTATGTGGATTTATATGGTGTACTTATAACTCGACTACTCACCTCCCAGGGTTGTGTGTACTCGTCACCAACCACATACTGCTTCTCGTCTTTAACGTCGAGGGGTAGATAATCTTTGACACAAAACCTAAAACCATAACAATAATACCATACCATACCATAAATCCGTGAAAAAGTTAAGTAACAAAATTGTACAAATTAGTACACTACTGTAGGTCTACGGTCTACTGAGGTCTAAGTACTGAAATTACTAATCTGTACAAATTTGTGCAAATTTGTGCAAATTTGTGCAAATTTGTGCAATGTTTTACAACGTTTTTCACGAATACATGTATGTATGTAGACTATAAAATGAGAAACTAGAGAAAAAAGTACAGATTTTTGTACTTCATTTTATCAATTTGACAGTCATGACTCGGTGAGAGGCATCAAGACAACAACGTAGCAAGTCATCCTTTTTGTGGACGTATCGTCGTCTTCAAACCTGAATTGGCTTGCAAGAAAGCTACGAATATTTCTACCATAAGGGCAAAAGACTAGGGCCGCGTGTCGTGCCGAAGAGTTTTCATTGGACGAGCACTGATATAATGCGCTGTGACTGGTTCAGTGTGGGCGAGAGGTTACTAGACCTCCAGTAGGAATACTTGAATACGTTACTTTCACGGTCACGGTCACGGTCAGGTCACGGTCACGGTCACGGTCACGGTCACGGTCACGCCACTGACGTCTGTATAGTAAATTGTTCTGCTTTAATACCTGATTAATACTTCATCTTCAAAGATGTAGACCCTGAGCGGGTTGATGGAAGTTAAAACAACATAGATACCAATGTCAAACTTTCTGAAAACGAACATAGCAATCAAAAGCTGAGTCAGGTAAAGACGCGATTACACGGAGCAATTGCAATTGCCCTATTTCACTATGACGTCACTGCCTGTTTATGTGGGGAATAGAATCGCCAAATGCAACAGAAAATTCAACAAAATTTGCTCCTAGCTAAACAGTTTAATCTAAAATGGCCTGGTTTTCAGATATGATATGTGTTAATATGTGCTAAAAAATATTCTAAGCGTTTGCTGGCTATTCTACTTCTCTTCATGGATTGATACGGGTTTTTAGAACAATTTTCGGTTAATTTGCGTTGATTTGACCCCCTCCGACGACCATGATCCTCTGTGTTTAAACATTAGATTGTTTTGATGTGACGTCATAGTGAAATAGGGCAATTTTCTCTGCAACTTGTCTCGCAAGAGAGCTGCGACACAAGTTGCAAGAGTGTTTACACAGTGCAACGGAGACGTAATCGCTGCCAAAAGTATGAACGAATTCTACTTTCTGCAACGATCGCTGCAACTTGTGTCGCAACATTTTTCTGATTGCACTGTAGGTTACACGCTGCAATGCTCCATGCAACTTGTGTCGCAACATTTTTCTGATTGCACTNCACGCTGCAATGCTCCATGCAACTTGTGTCGCAACATTTTTCTGATTGCACTGTAGGTTACACGCTGCAATGCTCCATGCAACTTGTGTCGCAACGCCGAGATAAGTTGCAGAGAAAATTGCTCGGTTTAATCGCGCCTTAAATTATGGCAGATATTTGGATGCATGCAAATAAGATGAGGCAACAAGCAATACACTCTGGTAGATGCCCCTTGAACCTTGAACGCAGAACCCCCTCTTTTCCCTTCTTGATCCTCCCCTGGTTCCTCCCTTGATTCAAGGGTTTGGAGGGTGATGTTGACCGTCGTTGGTTGCTAATAACAGCCAAGCTTACCTTCCATCAATAAGGTATGGATTAGAAATAAACTCCTCTACAAATGTATCACTAGATGTACCGTCCAATTTAATTTCTGAAGACCAAATAAGAAAAAAAGATTTACATTTTTATGCAAACAAATTATTTAAAGAAATGCGCAGCAAAACTCACAGCGAAACTTACTCAATTGACTTCAAAAGGAATTTTTAAATGTTCAAACAAATTTGACATACAGTCTTTTCTCAGCCTGTGCAAAGTTACTAAATAGAATTTTAAAAAAGGCTTATCCAAAACATTGGAAGTTTCTATTTGGTTATATAGTTTTTTTTCCTAAAGTAAAATGTTGTTGTTGAGCCAGAAAAGGCTACACTTCATGTTCCTGAGATTGCTTCTTGTGCTCTACAGCTCCCAGTGTGTTTATATCTCTATACAGAGACATGCATGCATGTTTTATAGAGTACAAACACGTTGCACTATTTAGTAGGAAATAGTGCTAATTAAACAATAGAAAACAATATAATAGGATTAGCATAATTTAGCAAAAACTTCATGAGTACTTATAATGAGCATTTAGACCTATCAGGTCCATCAAATCCATCAATCCATCTTTATACCTAATAATAGTTCAACATGGATATCTTTATATAAAGATTTTGAAATCTTTATAAAGGACCAAAAGAGTACAAGCTGAGCATAGCACGAATAAGGACCCTAAATGCTCATAAATTATTATTCATGAATTTTTGAAGTTGTTTAATGAACTCGAAGATCGTGTTTCTTCAGGACTAAAACCACTCGGCTATGCCTAGTGGCTTTAAACCTGATAAAACACTCCTGCTCATTTATTAAACTATACTTAATATACACCTAATTGAAAAAACATTGTCGGGTTCAAAAAAAGGTTATATCATCAAAGCTAAGACCCAAGGGGAAAATGTAAGACAAACAATTATGCTAATTTCATGTGTATTGCAGTTTTCCCTTCCTGTGCACATTTTATGCATCATGGCTTTGGCATGTTGTTAATCTAGGTCGACCGACTTTGCTCTACTGTGCATTTTTACATGTCTATATGCAAATGTAATACACATTTTGGAGTACCCAAAATCCTTTTCGAACTTAGYTTTGATGATATGACCTACTCGAACCTGACTACGTTTTTTATTAGATGTGTATGCATTTATAAAATGATTATTACGGCACCTGATGGTGATTTAATCCTGATTCCCCTGTGGCCGTTACTTTTCTCCACCCACAGTTTATGAGGAAACGTCTTCACCTGTCAGAATGATAAAATATATTTTTTTGAATACTAACATTATACCTTCGTAAGACCCTCCCTACCCATTAGAAATTACCAGAACCCCTCTGATCCATAGGGGAGGTTATAGATATTTTATAGTATTTCAAAGGTGTTTAAAATAAAGCTTTTTTAAAAAAAACTTATAAAATATCAATTCAAGTATATTGAATAAATAGAAAATGGGCGCGCATGCTGTGTGCTGTCATAAAGCATGCGGGGTTGGCAGAACACGAGAGAAGTGTTAGGAGAAGCATGATGCATAACGGAGTGCCTCTCGACACTTCTCGAGTGTTCTGCCAACCCCCAAGTACTTAATGACTGCACACAGCACAGCAAGCAAGTTTTGTATTTCTTTTATAAAATACAAATTACGATAATAGAAAGGAATGACGCAACGGAAAGTGCGCATGCGTGCAATGTGCTCTCATAAAGCACTCGCTCCAAACCAATCAGAACGCGACATTCATAACAGTTATTTTATAAATCTATATATATGTCATTGAAAATGTGAAAAATATTACTCCCAAATTAAAAGATCTTTCATTGAAATATTATTTATTATCTCTTTATGAGCCAGTAAAAAGTTAAACRTAAAGTAAATGTCAACCTTCTTCAGATGTGATATGTTGGATCAACATACACTGTATCTCTTACCCCTGTACCCCTGTAGATTTTGTTGGTGAAAACGTAATAATATTTAAATTACACTAAAGGCCTTTTCTCACCATGAAATATAGAAATGTTGTTAGATATATTATGCTTTAAACACTACCCATTATGCTATCTACTGTTTTAATTTCAATAAAACCACATTTTGCCATAGGTGACGTATTAAGATAAGTTCAGAGGATATTTGACAAGAAATACAGTTTGCAAAAACAAATACTGGACAACATTCATTTATTTTACTTTTTCCCAAAATCTCAGTAGCTGAATACTTGCATATTTCAACTAGATTTTATATCTATTTAATTAGTATAGGAAATCGCACGATCTCGAGTACAATTTGGAAATTGATAGACACGAGTTATGTTAAGAACTTTCGAAACATTACTAGTGTCTATTAATTTCCAAATTTTACGAGAAGATCGTGCGATTTTTTGTTTATAGTTCACTCAACAAAATTTCAGTAAAAAATGCGAAGCAAAGCCTTTCATCTTTGTCTATTTGGCCGCCGATTTTCATCTCATCGCGCAACTGAAATGCATAAAAAAGATTAGTTCTTACGGCTTTAAAATTTTATTTATATGTTTTTTAAGTACAAAATGATAGAAAATAATTGTTTTGACATTGTTTTTTGCTGTGTTGCCATAGCGACTTAATTCGGTACTCCTACGGAGTACAATTAGCGCTATGATTGTACTCATCTCGACCAATCAGAGTCAAGTAATTTTGTTGAGTGTACTATAAATTAATTAACATTAATTCGTTAAATTAATATATTTATTTATATCATTTATTATTGCTAATTCTTTTTTATCGTTTGTTTATTTATTCTTTAATTTACTTATTTAATATTAATTTAATATCCATTAACCCCACCCCACCCCATACAAAATCCAGAAGTCAAATTTTTACAAAAACATAACTCACCTCCTTTAGAAACTTATCTTTGCTCTTGGGAATCTCAAAAGCCACAGGGTGAAATGGAAAACGAGAGACAGCCAGACTAGCTTTGTTACAGATAAATCCAGATCCTGGGAAATGATTCACCTAGAGGAAACATAACAATCAGCCATGTGTCGACATAACTTTGACATGTTACTCTCTGGCTGTCACAAACCAGACAATCATGTTCGAACTTTGACATGTCACTTTGACATGAACTTTAAGTGAATTTTATGAAAAATAATAATGTATATATTAATATAAGTATATATAGAAAATTCATTAATATTAAATATATTCCCCACTAAGTTCTGCAGAATTATAATTCAAAATGTGTAGTTACAGGAATTATTCATACCCCTCCCCCCTCATACAAACCCCTCCCCCCACCCCTCCCTCCATACAAACTCTGTAATATTGTTCTTTCTCTGACCCCCCCCCATACCTCGGAAATTCCAAATGGGGAGAGGGGAGGAGGGGGGGGGGGGGAGGATATGGATAATTTCTGGAACAACAAAAKACATTAATTATTATAAGGTGAATTAATTTTCAAGTTTTGACAACATTTTTTCTCACTTCTGCTCCTCTATTTTTCTATTTCTCACTTTTAGCTTACAAATTAAATTCCTACAATTTTAGCTCCTTTTTCCAATTTCAGTTCCCACTTTACTTTCCCATTTTGCATTTTTCCAGTCTCTCATTCACTCACACAGCAAGTGTATCACATTGCTTCACACTAATTTGTTGTTTTTGATCTTTTTCCAACCTGAGTTCCCACTTAAGGTAACTCTTAAATCAATATAATCCTAGCTTTCATTTTTCCATTCTCTCATTTAATTCCATTTTCAGCTTCTCACATATATCTTTTCTCTCTTTTGTCCTTTTTTTAAAAAAAAGAGTTAAGAAATGGAAAAAAATAATGAATAATTACAATAAAAATAGTAATTTAAACCTTTTGGTAGGCCTGAAGCTGGTGAAGTTGATCTTTCAATTCGTCTAATGTAAAGGGATACTCATGAGACCACAACACATCCCATTGGTTGTTGACTGTCTCTGTGGTTACATAACCAACTTGTCGGAAGACATTAAAAACATGGTTAAGGTATCCTGTATGAATCTATAAAGGAAATAGAAACAGCAACATGTTACTGAATATTATTCCAAAAAGATGATGACAAATGATTGTCAGTGGTAATCTCCATGCTGAGATGCTTTATTCAATGATGATCATTACAGTTTTCATTGGTATGTCCTCTTATTTACCACCATTATCTAGCCTTCAAAATGTTGTGGACTCACGAGGCGTAGTGGTAAGACACTGACTATTCATTGATGCACTGCATGGTAATCAAATATTTATGTTCTTTACAAATTGTTTTAACCCCTTGCCTGCCATGGGCATAATATAATATTATATGTGAACAAATCTTTGTGCAAGCTACATATACCCTAGCCTTAGTTGCTGATCCGGGGGTGGTACTCCCTTTGTTCAGGTGGTAGGGGTGATCGGCGCTCCTTTTAAGGTTGAAAATGTTCCCTGTGTGGACCTTGTAGGGGTTCCGGCCCAAAAGTCA